TCAATAATTAACACTCGAAGAAACCTTAAGTCATGTAAGGAAGAACAGCAGAGATAAAAGTTACTATGTGGATACGACACCTACCTTATCTAAAAAAATTTTAACGTTTATTAATGAATAAAGATAATAATTTAAATTAGAGTTTCAAAAAGTCTGAAAAGATTTTAAAACATGACAGATATTACAATAGTGGTAACAACAAAGGCATTAATTTTTTTTTTAAAGAAAAGTGTTGTTATTAGAAAAAAGAAAAATTATTATAGTCTAGTAAATATTGATGATATTTAATAATTTAATAAATTTAATCTGAAACTCTTAAAAAACTTAGAAGTGTTTCTTTCTGATTTTTAGTAAAATTAATAAATATTTGTAAAACATTTTAAAGTTCTCTGTTTAATTTGATAATTTTAAAGGTTACTAGAAACTTATTATTTTCTACAGTACTTGTTAAAGAATTTTAAAAACTTATTTAGGTAAAAGTTGAACAAAAAAACGACATATTAGAATTACCAACTAATATCCTAATGAAAATCTTAAAATCATCTTCTCTTCATAAACCTGTAAAGTTTCCAATTTTAAACAGCTTAAAAAGTGACCTAAATCTTTTAATAGAAGTTTGTTCCATAACTTCAAAATATTCATTGTATATTAATAATACTTTCTACAAATAAAAATTCTTGTTTGTACTTAACAAGGCTTCAATTAAACTTTGTAAAAACTTCACTATTCACAATTTTTTAATAAAAATTTTAAGGTTTTATTTTCAAAATTACTTAAACAAGCAATAAAATCAGTTTTTAATAAAGTTAAAAATTCATAAACATTAAAGTCTACGTCTTTAGTTTCTGGTCTTCTTTCTAACAGAAAAAACTTCTACTTAGAAATAACACTAACCTCATTTTTTAAAATATTGTTGTCAAATATTCTTATTGATATTTACTTACTAAACTTTTCCATTGAATATCAAAAAATCAATTGAGTTTATGACTGGTTTAAAATTTAATTTGACATATTGAAATTTTTTAATATTAAAAAATTTAACTATTTCAACTAAACTCTTTTTTTTCAATAACTAAAGGATCATTAGTTAAACTTATTTAAATACTGATAACATTATAGGAAACATGATCTAAATGAATATTGTTTTATTCATAAACTGTACAAAATCTGTTCCACTTAACAGCTCAAACCTTTTACCTGTTTAAGTATTCAATGGATGCATCAAACCATACATAGAATATTTTATCTTCAAATCTTTCTATTTCACAGGTACACCCCATTTATATTTTAAATCTCTTGTCATGCATCTGGAATGTAAATCTTTTTCAATCTAGTAGTTGAAAATAAAGTTAGTAAATTCTGACCACCTTGTGATATCTTGATTATCAATTTCATCTATTAACCTACCTAATTCCAAAAAGAGATGAGTTGTTATTTTTATCGGATCACTTAACCTACATAATTAACACACAACATTCTTTATTTCAATTGCTACATAACATCGTCCACAATTATTATATTTGATATCGATCCACAAAAACACAATCCTTTAACATAACAATTAGCTAAAAATTGTTAACATATCTCACAGTAGAACCGATAAACCTCCTCTTGTTTAAAATAGTTAATTATTTATAAGAAAAACTCTTAAACTAAATTTCTATGTTCTTCACAGTGGGTATGTTCAAAATAATCAAATGCTCAATAAACATTCATATAAACTTATTTGTTTTTCTTTACAATGTCAAAAGGTATACATTTCTGTTTAATAGCTTCAATCTCAGTAGCAGTTCTATATTAATTAGTACCCGAAACAAAAACAATGTTACAACTTCTCTTTCTACAGTATTTTGTATATAAATCTACCTTAAATAACTATAATATAATATTGTCCAAGTGTTTCTGTTTATTTACATGAGGTAGTGCCGATATTATAAATTTCTTAATTTCTTTATTGAATTTATTTTTCATAAAATTTTTTTTTAACAAACAAAAAAAACTACTGATTTCTTTGTATAATTTTAAGATAAATAATTTTTTGATTATATCAAACTTTAAAATGAAAATAGTAAATAACCCATACGTAAAGCTTTTTAAATAAATTATGGCAAATTTGTACAAAGAATTATATGATCTATAAAATACTGATAATGTGATGCAAATACAGTCTATATACAACATACGCAATCTGTATTAAATCAAATATAAAAGAAGGTACTTCTTCGATTGGGGCCCAAATTAAAGGAATACCTTTAAAAGTAAACATTTTAATTTAAAAATAAAAACTAAATGTTTTTATTAAACTTAAAAGAATTAAAAAATGTGTTTAAATAAATAATATTCTTTTAAGACTTAAAAATATTTAATATTCTTTAAGATAAAAAACTCTTATTTAATAAAGAAATGATAAAATTCTTATAAAAAAAAAGATCTAAGAGTATAATTTTGATTAATCAAAATGATAAATGAAAAATTGAGTATTATTAATATTTATGAAATTAATGATTAAAGTTATGTTTTGAAAA